CACAGAGAGAAGTTAAAAGAAAAATCAAAGAGAACTATATTGATTTCTGCACTATTCAAACAAACCATTTAATAAATGAGGTAAATCAGTAGAGAAAGACTGGTTTGGTGGCCTAGAGATTCTCTCTTCCCCTGCTCTTGGAGTGTTAAGGAGAAAATGTCCCTCTCCTCTTATTTGGGGTGAAGCTCTTCTCATCAACTCAGCCGTGACAATTAAGAACAGGTAATGCTGACTGGCTTTAAAGAGATTTCCTGGTCCTCCTTGGTCTGATAGACTGATTGATTGGAGTTCAACAGGGGTGTGAAAATACAGCTCTCTGATGAAGGTACAAGCAATTGGAAGGGAAGTAAAACTTCCCTATAAAAAAACATTAACCCTTTCCTTTCTAGATGGCCATACAACACTCTCCTTACAAGCAAGATAGAGGAGTGACCCTCAGTGGGTCAGACAGCATAGGCAGACAGCAGGAGTTGTTGCTATATTCCACTCAGGGCTCACAAGGCCTCCTCCACAACTTGTCTGATCTTTAATGGTCCAGGACAGGGGTGGCCAACTTGTGGCTCCGGAGCCACATGCGGCTCGTCAGAAGTTAATATGCAGCTCCTTGTATAGGCCCCGACTCCGGGGCTGGAGCTACAGGTGCCAACTTTCCAATGTGCCGGGGGGTGCTCACTGCTCAACCCCTGGCTCTGCCACAGGCTCTGCCCCCCTCCACCCCTTCCCACGCCCTCCCCTGAGCCTGCCGTGCCTTCGTTCCTCCACCCTCACCCCCCAGAGCCTCCTGCATGCCACGAAACAGCTGATCGGGAAGTACGGAGGGAGGGGGAGGCGCTGATTGGCGGGGCTGCTGGTGGGTGGGAGACGCTGGGAGAGGGTGCTGGAAGCTTCTGACATATTACTGTGGCTCTTTGGCAATGTAAATCGGTAAATTCTGGCTCCTTCTCAGGCTTAGGTTGGCCACCCCTGGTCCAGGAGCTAGATACCCACAGCAGTTACTAGCACTATCACAAACCACTACACTATCTGAAATGCTGTTTCTTCCTTTTTGATAATTAAGCAGCCTGTATTTTTACTTGTTTCACACAGCAGAATGCTTCCAGTAGTCAAGTTACTCTGTTTCCCTATTCCCCTCCCCTCCCCATCCATAAGATTCCTCATAGCAACCAAAGGGCCTCAGCAGTTCTTCTCACTGTAGGACCCGCTCTTACCAAGGGAGATTACTGAACTATGCATTGTTTCCCAATACTAATGGGAAGCTGCTACTTAACAAGGTCCTCTCAGACTGAACAGATGCACTTGCTCCATAATATCTAGTGCTGAACACGGGAAGAGATGTTAGTTCCCCATTCAGTGCGTGAAACAATGGATCATCACCTCAGCATTCCTTTTCAGCTCTTCAGCTTCAGCTTCTGAGTACTCCATGTCGAGAACATCCTCAGTCCCAGAGTCCTCATCAGAGCCAACACTGTCCAGAAGAGAGCTGTTAAATTCTAAATGGCACAAAGACACAATGATGCCAGGTCAGAATTTTTGGCATATACAGGGAAGCACATCACAGTTACAGAAGGTTGGGTTATATTTATCTTCATAATGAATCTTCATAAACAAACACAAAGGAAATACTAAAGCTAAAGGCTCTCCCTTCTGAGGGAAGCAAGGGATATTGGAAAATTTACAAAAAAACCTACCTCACATCCCCTCTCTACCCATCCCAAAAAAAAAGCATGGTGATTTATGCTGTGAATCTGAATCAAGGAACAGACCCTGAACTATAGAATGCAGAATAAAAAGTAACATACCAACCTTTCACTGTTTTTTACAGTAGGTCTATGTTAAAGGGTGCAAAAACAGTTAATGCGACAGTAAAGGTGCATGGCAAACTTTTTTGCAAATTTCATTTGATTGCATAGCTGCATTTTTCATAAGCTTCAGTGGCCCCTGGTCAACATCCACATTAAATGCACTGTACCCATTTTGCTTAGTGATGGGGAAGTTTCCATGGTGAGAAGCATTTCTCTATATTTCAACTATAAATTCTATTCACAAACTACATTTATCAATTAAAACTGGCATCTAAACCGACTGCTGGCAGCATCCATCTTTTCATTGTTTGTACATGGTGAGAAGGGCTGCTCCCTGCAGGAACTTCCAGAACGCTTGGCTGAGCGAAGTGCACACAGCTCTCTGTTAAAGCCGGAAGGGCTCCCGGACACAGTGTTCTAAACTGTCTGGGATTTTGCAGCTACCCAACTAAAGCTTTTTCCCAGCACTTGTTACAGAAGCACCTAAACTTTTTCCAGATAATTTAAATTTGCATGGCGAGTCCTGATTGGATTTGAGTTCTCTGCTCTTCTCCTCTCCCTGGTTTTTTAAAACTGTCATCATGCCAGTTATGATGGATTGGGCCAAAAGAAACCTGATGAGGTTCAACAAGGACAAGTGCAGAGTCCTGCACTTAGGACGGAAGAATCCCATGCACTGTTACAGACTTGGGACCGAGTGGCTAGGCAGCAGTTCTGCAGAAAAGGACCTAGGGGTTACAGTGGACGAGAAGCTGGATAGGAGTCAACAGTGTGCCCTTGTTGCCAAGAAGGCTAATGGCATTTTGGGCTGTATAAGTAGGGGCATTGCCAGCAGATCGAGGGACGTGATCATTCCCCTCTATTTGACATTGGTGAGGCCTCATCTGGAGTACTGTGTCCAGTTTTGGGCCCCACACTACAAGAAGGATGTGGAAAAATTGGAAAGAGTCCAGCGGAGGGCAACAAAAATAATTAGGGGGCTGGAGCACATGACTTATGAGGAGAGGCTGAGGGAACTGGGATTGTTTAGTCTGCAGAAGAGAAGAATGAGGGGGGATTTGATAGCTGCTTTCAACTACCTGAAGGGGGGTTCCAAAGAGGATGGATCTAGACTGTTCTCAGTGCTACCTGATGATAGAACAAGGAGTAATGGTCTCAAGTTGCAGTGGGGGAGGTTTAGGTTGGATATTAGGAAAAACTTTTTCACTAGGAGGGTGGTGAAGCACTGGAATGGGTTACCTAGGGAGGTAGTGGAATCTCCTTCCTTAGAGGTTTTTAAGGTCAGGCTTGACAAAGCCTTGGCTGGGATGATTTAGTTGGGAATTGGTCCTGCTTTGAGCAGGGGGTTGGACTAGATACCTCCTGAGGTCCCTTCCAACCCTGATATTCTATTATTCTGTGATGGAAATACTTTGCCCAAAGGAAGGTTCATGCAATTTGCCCTGTGAAGTCATCAAACACTGGATTAGTCTAATCCTCTCAGGTTTGTTCCACAGCTGAACCCTCGTAAGTGAGAATGCTTTATTGCCAGATCTCATGCTCTTGTTCAGAGCTTTATAAGCTACGTTGTCCCAGGGAATTGCAGGCTGTCCAAGTGAGTCACACATGGAGGCGCAGTCACAGAGAACGCTTAGTCCCAATACACTGATAATGCTGGGATTACTACACTGTTACAGCACCAACACTGGACCATGTTAAAAAACAAAACAAAAGACAACTGCTGGCTACATGTGAGAAGGGAACAGCAGCTTCATAGTGAAAACTTATTAGCATCCCTTTTAGCAAGTACCTGCTGTCACAATTATGAATGATGTGACAGCATTCTGAAAGGCATTTGACAATATTCAGGATGTCAAACAAAATTAAGTGATTGTAAATCAAGAGGATTTTAAATTTCCAGTGACGGACCCTACCAGTCTACTACGGACCGGAAGTGCTGCAGGGGGAATGCACTCAACCACTCCTGGAGAAGGAACTTGCTTTGCCAAAACAACACCCCCAATATCTGATAAAAGAGTGAGGCTGTGGACTGCAAAGAGAGCCCGAGAATCAGGACACTGGTTAGAGTACACAGTAGTGATTGGCTGAATCTTCAATGTGATGTGTCACCCTTGTGAATGACACTTGTACACTGTTCGGAGTATGATATTGTTTTATTCCTGTTAAAGAGCAGACCCATGCCTCTTCAATAATAAGCAAAGGAGGACTACTTAAGGAGCCTGGGCAAGATTAAAAGTGAATTTTAAGTAATACTCCTGTATTTCATCATCACAACTGCTCCTCTTCTGGTGTGGGTTTTTTTTCGCTTTGTTCTGCCAGGCTGCATAACCTCACTTGCATGCTAGCCCTTCAAGAATGCTAAACTGAGCCTGGGGCTTAAAGTGCTACTTCAGTGTACCTGCCCGCTTTGGGTGTTCTCCAGTGCTACATCTTGCTGTGGATTATCCATCTCTGTTCTTTTATTAGATATAAAGCATTTTAGCCATTATCCTGGGCAAATCTGTTACATTTAAGTGTATTAAAATGTTAATCCAAAACTACAGAATTATGATAAGCCAGGGCTTTGGGAACTGATTCAACCAAGAGGGTATTCTGCAGATGTGAGACTGCAGGTGTCTCTTGGCCATAGACAGCTGGCTTTTCGGGAACACCGAGTTTCAAGATCCAAATATCTGGGTACACAATATTTTTAAAAAACTGAATTAAGGAATAAAAAAACTACTGCAGTTTTCATGTTAAGAATTTTCACGAGCATTTACTTCCATAACTGAATGAAATAAAACGGAAAAGAACAGAGCCAACTACAATCAAACACAAAAAAAGGCATGAAATCCCAGCTGCCTTTCAGATGCTCAGAGTTGCATTCACACACATGGATATGTTTCCCCTAAAAAGCAGCATTATGGAAGCTGATAAATAAATTTCACCTTGTAGACTTAATTCGGTAGCTCGTTTAAGGTCATCATCTTCTTTTTGTTCTCGTGCCTCCTGATGGAAAGAAAACAAACTTAGTTCACTGAGACACTTCACTGTTTAAAATTCTTGTAGTGTGCTTTTTCTATTGAATCTGTGCTGCTTTGGTTTCTACAACAAACCTGACATAGAACATTAAAAGTTCCATGTGAAGGAATGTTTACAACCAGCAAGAGTCCAAAGTTCTAGTGCAACAGGACCGGGGACAAACCTTAATTAAAGCTTGTCAAAGCTACTAAAGTTTTTGGTATGCAGCAGAGCAAGTCCCTAGTAACACCATGAGCTCTCTCTGGATCATTGATTTGAAAAGCATCATAATGAATTTGTGAACCGTCTGCAAAGTAAAACTGTCACTTACACACAAAGTTCCCCACGCTAGGACAAAATTTACACAATTTTTCTGCCCAAAGCTAACTGAGGACACAGGCCTCAATCAAAAGGTGAAAATATCTGCTATAATTTATTTTAAAATTGCTAAAAAATTGCAGCTTAACAAAAAATATATAAAACTCAAGGAAAATTTTCTGTATTTCCCAACTCCAGAAAAGGATTTCGCAAACATTACAGCAAGAATTTTAACAAGTAGGGATAGATAATAAAAGTGAAACCATATTTTTGGGTGTGTGTCTGCCCTGTCTCCTCCCACCACCCTCAAAAGGGGTCTGTGTTGTAGCAACATTGATTCCAGCTGAAGACACTGGACGTGGCTGGGTCCAAAGCCAGTCGGCACTACTGCATGAACAGGCTCCTTAATTCAGGGTCTGAATGCACGCCATGCCTGAATCACAGGTGGAATGGTAGGTCCTCATTATGACTACACCAGAAGCTAACATTTAAATCCATTTTACATTATTGCCATAAGGGTTTTTCATATCTCAGTTCCCAAAGCACTAGGAATCTATATCTTAACAGCACAGCTGAAATGAAGCAATCCATCACTGCGTCTCGCAACGAATTACACTGGAGGATGGGGAAATTTGCTCCGTGATATCTAGGCCAACCCCATCTCTTACAAGGAGTACCATGATATCTAATGTCAACACAAAGCAGACAGGGTCCTCAGTTCAAGGACTTATAACAAATGATCTCCTTCCCCATCACAGTAAACTGTATTGAACTCCATTTGTCTATACAGGAAGGATGAAGGGTTAAATTGACTCCAAGTTGTCTAGGTATTTCAAACCTGAAAATAAGTAGGGTTGGCAAAATTAGATTTTTATTTTTTTCGAATGTTGTTGATACAAATAAAAATCTATATAAAAGATTTTTTAAAATGTTTTTTAAAATGTTTTATTTTTACATCTGCTCAGTGGTGCTGGAACAATTTGCATAGTGGGGGTGCTCAGAGCCATTGAATCAAACTGTCAACCCTGCATATAATGGAAACCACTTCAAGCCAGCGGGCGCAGCAGCCCCCCTAGTTCCAGCACCTATGCAGCTGCTGGAAATTAAGGGCAGGGCAGGATAGGGTTGGAGTTAGGGCAGCACTGACAGCAGGGCTGCAGGGGGCTCCCTGCACAGCTGAGGGGTCCAAGACAACAGGGCACAAGGTGCGGGGGTGGAGGCCATGGGGTGCTGCTGAACAGTTCCTGCTCCCCTCAATGTCTGTGTGTCTGAAGGAGAGATGAGCAGTCTGCCCACTATTTGTGTAACACGTTAGCAACCCAGGGGGGTTGTTGGAACTCTAAATGTTTGTAGATGCCCGGTTTGCCAGTAGCACTTCTTTCCCCATGTGTGTTTGACTAGAAGGTTGAATTAGCCTTTGCAACCCTAAGACTGGATTACATGGGGCTATAACTGAAGACAATTTGAAAACTGCAGCAAGTGCACAATGCAGCTGTCTGTTTGCTTAGCACAGGTCAGAAGTGCAGGGTGATCTGCACTAGCTTCCAATTTGTTTTGGGGTGTAATTCCAGGTGCTAATATTAACCTAAATGGTTTGGGACCTAATTATCTGAGAAACCTGCCCTTATCCCTCATGTGATACCACAGCAGTTGAGCTCAGAAGAACAATTTGAGCTAACCGTGTTCTGATTTAAACAAGAGAGCTGCTGGCATGGCTGTCTGAAGGGGTGGTCATCTGCATTAGAACCTGCTTCTCCCTCCGCCTCTGGACAGGACATGCTGCAAGGCCTTCAAGTGGGGGATGAATTAGGGAGGTGTACGGAAGTTAAAGAGTGAGGCTTGTTAATTTTCAGTACATAACTAGGTGAGGAACAGCTTTGCCTTTTTTTGTATAGGTGAACCTTTCAAATATCTAGGTGTGATTCTCAAAGTTTATACTAACTGTGATTAATATAGTTAATCTCAACGACTGAACTGGGTAGTGAATTAGAATAATCTTCTGCTTTTCATACTGGTCTCTTCTAGAAGATAAGCAGTAGAGACAATTTGCAATTATTGTCCAAGCCAGGGTGAACTTTTATTTTGCCATCAGGTTTCTGACGCTAGAAAAGATGACTTAGGGAAGGGAGTATTAGCTCTTACTTGTTCTTGGAGGCTCTGAGCCAGTGCCTGCTGAAGTTCTTGTTCCTCCCGCTCTCGCTCCATATCGTACTGCTGCAGCCAGTCAACCTCCCCCTGGGAGCCTTCCGGAGTTTTGTTTTCCTTATTCTCATCAAAATCTTTAGTTATCTCAGTGAAATTGGCAGGGCCTGAGGAAGCAAAGGACATTTATGCTTTTCTGGTCCCTTGTTTGTTACCATCTAAGTCCTCTTTAGGCCCCTGAACTCCTTGCAGCACAGTGGCATCTACTGGTAGAGGGACAACCAATAGATCCTGAGGAATGCCGAAGGATTTGATGAGAGAGGGGAACGCTATCACTCATCTTACAGGTTTGGGACTGAGCAAGGTTTTATCAAAACCCTCTCTCCCCAAACTCTATGCTTTCATTTAAAACCTGCAGCCTTTGCCTAAACAAACATGTCCCATTCTGCTAGGCTTTCACAATGGTGGCTCAAGTGCAGCTAATGGACATTTGCCAGAGTTACAATATGTGGATTTAGACCGTGCTTACATACTACAGTGCCGGCACCATAGAAAAACCTAACATTGAACCTACTATGTTACCTCTAAATAAGACCGAGGGAAGCAGCAAAATCTCCTAAAAGCGGTTAGGGTTTGTCAATTTTTTGCTTCAGTTTAGAGCTAGATGATCTACAGATTTTTAAGTAGTATAAAAGCACAAGTAATTTACAACTGTGTAGTTTACCTTTAAGATGTGTGCAATGGAAAGAAGAAAGAAGCTGTTTTACAAAACTTTTGGAGGGAATATTTGTTGCCATTACTATATGTACCTCTCCTATCTGCAGCATACTTTCAACCCCCAATTGGCTACAGGTAAATGGTCAGAATCCCCCTAAAAAAACCAGCAAAGCAATCTATCTTAATGTGAACCCACCCTTGAATTGGAAAAACAGACTTCCACATCTGTTCATTAGTTATCAGAGGATTACAGGCAGCAGAATGACAGCATCAGCAACATCTTGAAAATGCAGGACCACCAGAGTCAGGATTGTAACCCAGCTCTGTCTAAACCTCTTAAATGAATCGCAAAACAGAATTTTTTACGTCTGTGACTCAGACTTTCATTATAAGGAGCAATACTCCACAAGGTTTTTGGCTATTACACAGCTCTCAGCTATGAGTAGGAGTAGGGAAAGTATGCCCTCCGTAATGTCTAAATTTAGTAGGTCTCCCCCTCCACCTGCTTTGAAAGTACATGAAATTCGGTGTGACTGTGTAAAATGCACCACAGTGTATGTGAATACGGGAGCAGACTCAAGGTTGTGTGAATTATTTCATGTATTGACTTCCAACATGAAGTTTCATTTGACAGTACCTGACATTTTGAGCTAACTGCAACCTTCAGTAGTGTACGGTTTTTGCATTTAATTTCTTAACTCTTAAGAGGAAAAGAAAGAAGGAACTTCATCTGACTGTGTTTTCAGGATAGTGGAGTTAAGAAATAATCTGATCCAAAGCAAGTAGCATGAACAAATTACAAGATTTTAAAAATGTCTGTTAACCAACTAGAAAAGCTGAGACCCAATTATCCCACACTCAAATCAATGGGGCTTCCTCACAGTGGTAAAGTTAAGCATGTGTATATTTGTTTGCAGGATTTGGGGCCACAATCTGTGAAAGCATGTTGGGCTTATTCTGAAGGATTTACAGAAATGTAAGGTGCTGTTTTAGAAAAGGAAAAAAAAAAACTTTTTAAAATTGTATACACAGGAGGCCAAATTAATTACAATTCTATTTATTTTTCACTATGCATCAGAGGGATTTTAGCCTTATCCTTTGACTGTATTAATCATACACAAACAACTGTCTTCAGATATTGCTACTATGCTCCTCAGGATTGCAATTGATTTGGAGACAGTTATAGAAAATAAAGTGTACTCAGAACATGGAAGAGTAAAACTCTATAGTCAGTGAATTGACAGAGGTGATTGTTAAACAGGAGATGGAAAAAATCACCAAAACATTGGTGATGACTAATTTTAGCCGAGACATATTACAAATGTTTGACATGAGAACATTTTCAAAATTCAATACATGAAAAGCTTTAAAGACAGGAAAAATGTAAGATATTTATATATCGCCATGTACATCAGACACTGCCTACAATCCACTCTCATGCAATTCATGCCCCATATATTGCTGATCTGCTGTTGTAAAAAACTTCAGAATCACCATAGAATCTGTTCAGTTAAGATAAAGTTACTTCTCATCCTACCTGATTCTGTAGTTACTTTGGGTTTCTCCGTCTCTACAGACTGCAGATTTTCTGGCAATTCCTGCACCTCGTCCTCTCCAAAACCAGTGTCAGGGCTGCTTGTGGGTTTATCTTCATCATGGTTCACAGAGAATGAGGCTTCCCTCTTGCTAATCTCTAACACAGCTGCTAGCAACTCATCCTCGCTCATTCCATCGAAACCCGCATTTCCCAAGTCAGAAGATTTATCACACTCTGGTTTACTTCGTTTTGAACCCTACAAATGAATGGATTCAGGCTAAAAGGCTTTTTAAAAAGTCAAAGATGTGTCGCATCCAGTTTGCATTTACTGTGCACATTTCTTTTGGGTTAACTGTCAGGAAGTGGGCGTTTGGGTCTCAACCATACTAAATACAGTTCACATATACAGAGTCAATGCCATATGACTTTAGGGACTAACTTTGAATAATAGATCTACAACAGTAGTTTTCTACCTTTTTACATTTGTGGACTCCTAAAAAATGTCAATTAAATGTGTGGACCCCTTTGGAAATGTTAGACAGCCTGCGGATCCCTGGGGGTCTGCAGATCACAGGCTGAAAACCACTGATCTACAACCACCAGGATTTGCAAGATGTGCAAGGCTACAGCGCTCTCTTCATCTGTGATCACCCCACCTTCCCCTTGTGACACCTTTCCAGGTGGTGGTGAGCCCTCACCCTACAGTAACCTCCATATGTGAGTAGCAGAGTCATCACCAATAGGTGTTTAATGAAGTTGGACAGCAGCTGCAAGAGATAAATGTAACTTGAACTGGAAGATGGAAAGAGAACCACTGAACCTAGGCTAGGATGAGAAGAGAAGGGGAAAGAACACAGTTTCTCAAATGAACCTTAGACGGTCTCAGCAGATATGACTAGGAGAGGCCAAAACCTGAAGATCAGGGCAGCAAATAGCAATGCATAAAAGAAAAATAAATGGTTCTCTCACAACGGACAGGCCGGTCAACTCTAGTCGGAAAACTCAGGCTAGTGTTGTATCTTTACGTTGCTGGTCTGTTAGCCAGCTCGTACACTGCTGCAGTAGCCTTCTGTGCTTGTGCTTATCAATCAGCTGAACACACAAGCTGCTGAGGCTACAAACTGACCGCCACACCGGTTACATAATCACGCACTCAGACCAGAGATTATTTCCATCTCTGATGCTGTAGGGCCAGTACTACCATAGGCACAAGACCATGGACAAGAAAGGAAGGCAGGTAAGAGGAGGGTGAAATTCTAGAGAGAAGAGCTGGTCCAGTTAGTGATAACTGGTAGTTGGTCAGGTTCATGCATGTAAGACAAAAAAAGAATTTGAAGACCAACTAGCCAAAGACTCAAAAAGTAATAAAAAAAATTTTTAAGTACATCAGAAGCAGAAAGCCTGCTAAACAACCAGTGGAGCCACTAGACAATTGAGATGCTAAAGGAGCACTCAAGGACAATAAGATCATTGCGGAGAAACTAAATGAATTCTTTGCATCGGTCTTCACGGCTAAGGATGTGAGGGAGATTCCTAAACCTGAGCCATTCTTTTTATGTGATAAATCTGAGGAACTGCCCCAGATTGATGTGTTATTAGAGGAGGTTTTGGAACAAATTGATAAATTAAACAGTAATAAGTCACCAGGACCAGATGGTATTCACACAAGAGTTCTGAAGGAATTCAAATGTGAAATTGCAGAACTACTTACTATAGTTTGCAATATATCATTTAAATCAGCTTCTGTATCAAATGACTGGAGGATAGCTAATGTGATGCCAATTTTTAAAAAGGGCTCCAGAGGTGATCCTGGCAATTACGGGCCAGTAAGCCTGACTTCAGTACTGGGCACACTGGCTGAAACTATAGTAAAGAACAACATTGTCAGACACATAGATGAACATAATTGCTTGGGGAAGAGTCAACATGTTTTTTGTAAAGGGTAATCATGCCTCACCAATCTACTAGAATTCTTTGAGGGGATCAACAAGCATGTGGACAAGGGGCAACCAGTAGATATAGTGCACTGAGCTTTTCAGAAAGCCTTTGACAAGGTCCCTCACCAAAGGCTCTTAAGCAAAGTAAGCTGACATGGGATAAAAGGGAAGGTCCTCTCATGGATTGGTAACTAGATAAAAGATAGGACACAAAGGGTAGGAATAAATGGTCAGTTTTCAGAATGGAGAGAGGTAAATAGTGGTGTCCCCCAGGGGTCTGTACTGGGACCAGTCCTATTCAACATATTCATAAATGATCTGGAAAAAGGGATAAACAATGAGGTGGCAAAATCTGCAGATGATACAAAACTACTCAAGATAGTTAAGCCCAAAGCAGACTGTGAAGAGCTACAAAGGCATCTCACAAAATTGGGTGACTGGGCAACAAAATGCAGATGAAATTCAATGTTGATAAATGCAAAGTAATGCACATTGGAAAACATAATCCCAACTATACATATAAAATGATGGGATCTAAATTAGCTGTTACCACTCAAGAAAGAGAGCTTGGAGTCATTGTGACTAGTTCTCTGAAAAACATCCACTCCATATGCAGCGGCAGTCAAAAAAACTAACAGAATGTTGAGAATCATTAGGAAAGGGATAGATAAGAAGACAGAAAATATCATATTGCCCCTATATAAATCCATGGTAGGCCCACACCTTGAATACTGCATGTAGATGTGGTCGCCCCATCTCAAACAAGATATATTGGAATTGGAAAACATTTAGAAAAGGGCAACAAAAATGATTAGGGGTATGGAATGGCTTCCATATGAGGAGAGATTAATAAGACTGGGACTTTTCAGCTTGAAAAAGAGACAACTAAGGGGGGATATGATAGAGATCTATAAAATCATGACAGGTGTAGAGAAAATAGATGAGGAAGTGTTATTTACTCCTCCTCCTAACACAAGAACTAGGGGTCACCAAATGAAATTAATAGGCAGCAGGTTCAAAACAAACAAAAGGAAGTATTTTTTTCACACAGTGCACTGTCAACCTGTGGAACTCTTTGCCAGAGGATGTTGTGAAGGCCAAGACTATAACAGGGTTCAAAAAAGAACTAGATAAGTTCATGGAGGATAAGTCCATCAATGGCTATTAGCCAAGGCAGGGCAGGGATTGTGTCCCTAGCCTCTGTTTGCCAGAAGCTGGGAATGGGCGACAGGGGATGCATCACTCGATGATTCCCTGTTCTGTTCATTCCCCTCCCATACAACCTCGATTCATCTCCTTTCTACTGCACTTACAATGCCACTGTACAGGCAAGAAGCTTCTTTGGATGTAGCCAACATCTGCCACAACAGACCTCAAAGACAAAACACTTAATTTGGGGGTCCACAAACTCATTCCAATTTGTACATTATTATTTTTCCCCCCATTCTCAATGCATATCCTGGCCCCCAGATTTAAACAAAGAATTTGACTGGATAATTATTACCAGTGACTGACTTTCATCCTATTTCAACTAGTGAGCAGCTTCAAGAGAAGGCAATTTAAATATCCTCTAAGGATTGAATAGTAAAACTGTTGTGCAGCTGACACACTTGAGCTAAAGACTTCAGTGCAGCGCTAATACAATTACCTCTGCTGCCAGTGGGATCCCAAGCCAACACATATAGAGAGGTCAATCAGATGGCCTGGCAAAGCATTCCCCTTCAGCATAATTGTGCTAATTATGAACCAATCTTGTATTTACATCGGTTTTATTCACAGTCTGATAGACTCTGACAGCCCAGACACAAACACGTAAGGGATTTTTTAGGTTTGAAAGGGTATGTTTTCCCCTCTCAATAACAGAAAATGCACATGTATTGTAAGTCCTACAGAGAGGAAAGAATCTTTTACCTTTTCAGGCTCTTCTTGCTGTTGCTGCTGTTCTCTGCTCTGTACATCACACAATCTTTGACTGTGAGCAACAGAGCGTTTCAATGGCTCATCCTCACTATCTGAATCCACATAGAGTGCCACGGAGCTCTTCGATTTGAATGTATACTTTCTGAAAATTAAAAATACAACTATAATTTCCTAGCACTGTAGAAACCTGTTAAACTATTAAAAAAGGAAATTTGGGTGTAACAGGTTATGCAGGTTTAGAAGAGACTCCATTGGAGCATAAGCTTTCGTGGGTGAATGCCCACTTCATCAGACGCAAGCAAGTGGGCATTCACTCACGAAAGCTTATGCTCCAATACTTCTGTTAGTCTTAAAGGTGCCACAGGACCCTCCGTTGCTTTTTACAGATTCAGACTAACACGGCTACCCCTCTGTTAAGAGACTCCAGTTTGCCATATTTAAAATCTATTTACTTAGCAGATCAATTTTCTATCCTAGCTTACCTACTGGTGCATTGAAAGTTACTGCATTCCTTTACCAGGTATTCATTAAAAGAACTTCCCTGCACTTCTGTGTTTAGGTATTTACAGTGCATGGACAACATTCTGTGAACATTCCCCTAAGTGGACTCCATTAGTATAGAGAACTCATTATTATATGCTGTTTAACTTGGGAAATTTATTTAAACACTATAATTATTCTCTGAAACCAAGTTGCATAGATCATAAAGACGCTAAATAGTGTTGGCAGGACAACATTTCACATGTGTAATGTTTTTCAGTTTTCCATTTGGCCTTTTGCAGGTGTTGCTTTTGGTTTTAATAAAACCAAAAGCAAGGAGGGCTCAGGAAGGTGAAAAATAAAAGCACTGTGTATAGGTTAAGACAGTGGCTCTCAACCTTCCCAGATACTGTCCCCCCTTCAGGAGGCTGATTTGTCTTGCTACCCCCAAGTTTCACCTCACTAAAAAACTACTTGCTTACAAAATCAGACATAAAAATACGAAAGTGTCACAGCACACTGCTACTGACAAATTGCTTACTTTCTCATTTTTACCATATAATTATAAAATAAATCAATTGGAATATAAATATTGGCTTAATTTCAGTGTATAGTATATAGAGCAGTATAAACCAGTCGTATGAAATTTTAGTTTGTACTGACTTCACTAGTGCTTTTTATGTAGACTGTTGTAAAACTAGGCAAATATCTAGATGAGTTGATGTACTTCGTGGAAGACCTCTGCATACCCCTGGTTGAGAACTTCTCTACATGCATCCTCCAGTGTCTTCACTTTTATGCAGCGTAAAGTTATCCAACACTACATTACATTTATCACTGTTTCTCAGGAGCTGGCCTCTCAGAATGAAGTGTAGGAACAATGTTCCTCTAACCCGCACAAATAAACCCTAGGATTAAATGACTCTCTTCCAGAAACAACTTTGGTGCGCCAAACATAAGGACAGAGAAAAGAGCTAGCTCTTGGAATAAGAGAAATTTTGCTTCTCTGGTAAACAACTTACAAACCAGCTTCTTGCCGTTATGGTTACAACCAGTTCTTAAGAGCAGTGGAACTATTAGAGTCCATACAAACTAAGTTCAGTTTTCCTTGCTATTGTAGGTTTTAATACTGAAAAAAAATCTAGTTTGTGTTATAATTATAAACCTCAGAAAACAGGCTTATAAGAGAAATGCTGAAAAATGTCATTTGGGCTGTGTGAACACTAAAAGTGTCCTTAATATTTATGCCATTGGAGACGCAATTTCAAGACAACTCTGGAGCATGAAAAACAGTGTAGAGACAATAATTCAAAACACAAAAAACAAGGAGTAAAAATGGAAAAGGAAGACAAAGGTGGGAGAAAGGCAAGACTTATTTAAATGCTCAAAAGTTCTTCAGAGAACTCCCCCAAATCAAGGAAATTTCAGAATTACAACTTACCTACAAGGTGTGGAAGTGCTCACAGTACAGGAATTCACCATTTGGGAGGCTTTCAATGGTCGAGAACTATAAACAGAGCAAAGTATTTATTGCCACAGTTATATTCTGAAAAAAATGTGCATTTTACTCATCTGCTACTACATGCTAGCCCGTGGGCAAAAAAGCCATAAGGAGAATACCTGTTTGTATTTGTTAATCACAGAGATTTAGAGTAAGAATTCTATGTTATGAATATACAAAAGCTGTTCATAAAAGTAATTAACCCTTTCAACTTGATTCACCTCTTAGTGGCACACCCTAGGACAGCTTTGAGATTAAAAGCTTGCAGCATTCCTGTCAGGACTGCAACTCATTCCTTTTTCTACCATCTTTCCAGTTCCTACTGCCAACTCATGACCTGCTCTCCCACAACCTGCCCTGGTGGCTTTACTGGCTCCCTACCTGGCCCACGTTTTCACCAAAACAACTGTCACACAAGCTTTCTGATCCACCTGACCCTCACCTCGGATCCCTCAATTCCATCAACTCTCCCCACACCCACCAGCTGGCTGCTGTTGTAGCAATCCCTTCCAATCCACACAGCCGACTTCCTCTCCAAACCCAAGACTGCTGCATCCAGTTCACCACATGTCACCCCCTACTGCTAGCCAGGAGGATAGATTAAGACTGAGAACATTCAGGTCCTATTACAAACCACTAAAAATCTGACCCTTTAAAGGGTTTTTCTCCTTTCTTTCTTTACAAAAGTAAAGTTTTCAATTACAAAAATATACTGTTGAAAAACCTTATTCAACACTAAGCACGAAGAACACGTGTGCCATCCTGCTGAACATGCCAGATACATCCTAACTCAGTATGCTATTGTGGTTAGGGCACTGGACCGGAACACAAGAGATCTTGGTTTTGTTCCTTGGTCTGCCAGACTGCCTATGTGAGCCTGGGCATGATACTCTGTGCCTCAGTCTGCCATCTGTAAAAATGAGAGGCTATGGTACGTCCACACTTGGAAAGCTGCATGCAATTCTGGTCACCCCATCTCAAAACAGATATATTAGAATTGGAAAAGGTGCTGAGAAGGGCAACGAAAATTATTAGGGTATGGAACAGCTTCCATATGAGGAAAGATTAAAAAGATGGGGACTGTTCAGCTTAAAAAAGAGACAGACTTCCTCATACAACGAACTGTCAGTCTGTGGAACACATTGCCATGGGATGTTGTGAAGGCCAAAAGAATAACTGGGTTCAAAAAAGAATGAGATAAGTTCCTGGAGAATAGATCCATCAGTGGCTATTAGCCCAGACGGTCAGGCACACAACCCCATGCTCCGACTGCCAGAAACTGGGACTGGACGACAGGGGATGGATCACTAAAGACTGCCCTGTTCTGTTCATTCCTTCTGAAGCATCTGGTCCTGGCCACTGTCAGAGACAAGTAACAGAGGGTCCTGTGGCACCTTTAAGACTAACAGAAGTATTGGGAGCATAAGCTTTCGTGGGTAAGAACCTCACTTCTTCAGATGCATCTTATGCTCCCAATACTTCTGTTAGTCTTAAAGGTGCCACAGGACCCTCTGTTACTTTTTACAGATTCAGACTAACACGGCTACCCCTCTGATACTTGTCAGAGACAGTGCATCCGAAGAAGTGGGCTATAGCCCACGAAAGCTTATGCTCTAATAAATTTGTTAGTCTCTAAGGTGCCACAAGTACTCCTGTTCTTTTTGTCAGAGACGGGATACTGAGCTAGATGGACCGTGAGGTCTGACCAAGTATAGCCATTCTTAAGTAATGCTTCCTTACTTCATAGGGCTGTTGCGAGGACAAATTCACAGTGTGAGGTACTAGATACTGTGGTAACGAGCACCACAGAAAAACCTATAAATTAATGGACAGGTCAGCACAGCAAAGGGTGCAGGGGAAGATCAGCAGTGAAAGGGTATGAAGAGCTATCATGGTGTACCAAATATGAAATGAAAGCTCAATCATTCTAGTACTTGTACTGGAAATAAAGCTGAATTATGGACTCACAGGGAACTTCCCTTGGTAAATTCTACCAGTCCATACCCCAGGGGTTAAGGCAGGGTTGTTCCTTACAGAGTGTTCTCTAGATATTGTCCTGACTAGTTTTAAACATCTCAAAGCAAAGGAGCTTCCGCCACTCTTACATCCTGAGATGTAATTCTCCTTCCCCACACATCGTCTCATATTGGTATCATTATGGATTAATGCAGCAGACAAAAGACTTGGCTTTTAATTTCGTAAAGGGAATCACAATGACCTTTGAGAGGGTAGGAGCAATTTTTAAATCTCTTTTATTAATTTGACTCTCTCTAGAGTAGATCTGATGTGTAACATTTGATACCATCTCCTCCCATATGCCATATACATGAACTTAATACCCATGAATAGATAACGGTGATAAATTCTGCTCTTGACACTTACACTGCAGAATGCGCACTCCATCCCAGAGTAAGCGGGGGCCGAGTGCTTTCTGTACAGTGAGATAACAGGGTCAAATATCTTGGTATAACCACCTGCTGCCCAACTTTGTGATTCAGAGACAGTGCCACATTGAAGCTGTATCGTTTCAGATGAAGAATCAGGACCCTGAAAGATAGGAGGCAGGGCAGAAATAACTGCATTAAGTTCAAAGCCAAAGACAGTAGCCAGTAAATAAACACATTCAAAACCCAGCTTGCCCTACCCACAAAATAGTCACCTCAGTTTCAAGTACATTTTATTTTTAGAAAAAAAGTTTTCCACCTCTTGGCTTTCTGACAAGAGATGTTTGATTGCATTAACAGTTAGTTGTGTGGTGAGCTTGAGGAGATGTGGTTCTCCAGGATTCTGGGAGCTAGGACACTTAGGGCTCTGTAGATAGTAAACAGTCCCCTGAACTTAATTTGGGTATTTACTGGCTGCTAGTTCATAATGAAGAGCACATGCTCTCAGCCTGATCCTCTCAGGAGACAGTTCTGCTTACTGCTTCTATCTAGCAAGACCCCGAAGTTGCAGACCATTTTAACAATAGGCAGACATCCTGCTCTGTTGAAGCAGTCAGACTTTGTCAACTCAAGACACTTCCTGATTCAATCAGCATCATTTTGTTCTTGTCCAGGATGAGCTTACGCCAACTGGCTTTTATTCAGGTCCTTATTTCTGCCAGCTAACGAGAGAGCTAGGAAATAACTGATTGCTTCCAAAGAGGAAACAGAGCCAAGTATAATGATCATAGGCCAGTGTCATCAGCATATTCCCTCAAGATATCCCCTACTGACTTAACGTACATGTTGAACAACAGGAGTGGTCAAGACTTAGGCCTTGTCTATACTACTTTGGTAAGTCGACCTAAGGGCTTGGCTACACTTGCGAGTTACAGCGCATTAAAACAGCCCTGGGTGCCCTAGCTCACTCCCCATCCACACTGGCAAGGCACGTAGAGCACTCTGACTCCGCAGTTAGAGCGCTCCTGGTACTCCACCTCGGCGAGAGGAATAACGTTTGCTGCGCCTTGGCTACAGGCGTCAGTGTGGACAAGGTGTTGCATTACTGCACTCTGATCAGCCTCCGGAAACGTCCCATAATCCCCTTAAGTCAAGTGGCCACTTTTGTCATTGTTTTGAATCACTGTAGGAATGCGCAGTGTCTATACAGGGCTGTATCAATGGGACACGCTCTCCCACTGACTTACATTACTCTTCTCAGGGAGCTAGAGTACCGGAGTCGATGGGAGAGCGCTTTCCATTGACCTAACGGGTCTTCACCCGACCTGCTAAATTGACCCCTGCTGCACTGATTGTAGCAGTGCCGATCTACTGGTAAGTGTAGACATGACCTTAGACTGTTTGGCCTTGAAAATCAAGCATCCTAAAGGAGGAAGAGCAATCACTAACACAAACTGGGCACAGGGGTGTTTTTATTAGTCATAAGCTTTACCCAACTTCTAATACTTTTGTTCATGAAACTACCACCAACCTTACAAATATTCACTGTGCGGTGAGCCTTCCCTCTTGTACTACATTTTGTGTCTATTTAGACTGGGCAGGGACCACGTGATATTACTTGAATTATGGTATCACCAAAGGGTCCAAATTAGGGACCCTGCGCTCCATTATGCTAGGTTCTGTAAAACTTACACCATGACAAGATGATCCCTGCCCCAAAGAGCTTACAATTTATGTAATGATTCCATCTATGTGATTAAAAGTACCAAGCACACAATCAGTACTGCTTCAAGAGTACTGTGTATTTCTAATGATATCAGCCTGTCTAGTCTCAGCTACCACCCAGATATTCTGCTCTTTCTTTAGGACAAAGCTGGCAGCTGTAAACCTCCCTTAGAAAACAGGAAAGATTTGATCCTTATTAGGAGAAAGTGTCAAGCTCTGACTTTCCGGAGGGAAAGGTATATAGGGGAGAAACCTCTCTGTACTCTTCCTTGCAGCCCACTATGCTCACTGTGACACAGAAAGACAGCAAGCACCAAGGTAAAAGGGATGGTTGGCCACGCAAAGTGAGGTCCTACACTGAACTCGATGGCATTTCTCTGTCAGTCTGTATATAATGTGGTAACTTTTGAACGCCACATTTGATCTATTCCAAAGTTTCAGGGAATGTTTTAGGCATCAGTGGATGGAATCCTATTGATTTTAGTGAAAAATCGGAAAACCGGAAGGGGAAAGTGGGGAATGCATGGAGCCCCAGGTATCTGGCTAGCACACGTATCAGCTTCAACCAGGTCTACCAAATCTGTAGATCAAAGAATTGATGGCAGCCATTAACAAGTTCCAGCATAATTCTCACCCCACTGCCTATCTCAGCTTTGCCCTCCCTCCCAAATGAGTTTAAAATGTTGATAACATGAATGACTTATCTCCCAGGCCTGGCCTACACTTAACATTTAGGTCAACATGGCTACATTGCTCAGACGTGTGAAAAATCCGCATCCCTGAGCGATACAACTGTGCAACCTAACTCCCCTAGTGTCAGACAAAGCTAGGTTGAGGGAAGAATGCTTCTGCAGCTATTGTTGGTGTAGCTGTGTCTAACACTACGGGGTTATGCAAGCACAGCTCAGGCACTGCAGCTATGCCAATATAGTCCCCAGTGTACACTGTACCCCAGACAAAGAAAATAAATAATGGGGGGCAGGAGGAATGCACAGAGCCACAGGCATGGGGAGGAGAATGGGGGAGGGAGACATTGGAGCACAGCACCGCAGGCATCTGGTGGAGGGGCGGAATGACTTGGGGGGGGGGGGGCATTCAGAGCCCCTGGCTCTGAGGAGGAGAATGGGGCACAATGATATAGGGACACACAGAGACCCAGGCATGTGGCGGACGGGGTGAACAGGGGCATACTGAGCTCCTGGCATTGGGTGCTGTGGAAATAAAGGATAGGGCCTCCGCATGAGATAAGGGAGAAGGGTTGCAGGGAGTCCTGAAACAGAGGGAGATGGAATGGTGGCCCACAAGAAGCTGGGGGGTGAGGAGGGAATGGAGGAATGTCAGACTCCCCTGGTGTGTACAATGAGCTCTGCATACAGAAGCAATGATGCGTACAATCTTCTAATTATATCTACCACTTTACTCTTCATCCTCTTCATTACTCTAGCCCTGCTCTGCCAGGCTGTCCTACGCACCAACACTTTTATCCGCTTTTATGACATGGGAAAGCACCAGAGTAGGATTTTACCCTTACCTGGGGAGCCTATTGAATTTGTGTGTAACAACAGCAGACTTTCCATTACACTTCTCACAGGAATACTCAATCTCCTCTGCCTATGAAAGACAAAGCAAAATATAAGGATGACTCAACCAGATATTTATTGAAAGCAGATGGCCTTTTTCAGTCCAGTGTTTCTCTGACGAAGGCACTCATCTATTTCTTAATTGACTTATCATTTCAACATGACAGACCAAAACATGAATCAGATAAGAGAACAAGAAATAAGCTTACAACTGAAAGCCTGTCAGTTAAGACAGGTGGAATTAGTTAGGGAGAAATCGCTTTTTGCAAATCTGATACACAGAGCTAGAAAATAGAAAGGGTAAAGAAACATTAGTACTCAAAATGAGAGGACAGTAGTTTTGCAAGACCTGCAGCTTTTCCTCTCAGAAACACCTACCATGTAGCTTTTCATAGCCCTTACTGGACAACATTTAATTCTCCATATCCCTAGTCCAAAGCTCCTATTTTTTTCTCCTGAAAGGCCCTCTGCCTCTGAGATCGTTACTGATGTATCACAGTTAAACAGAATTTCATCTCCTCTAGCTGTCTCTGCTTGGAAAAGCATTGTGCGAGGAGTATGCATACAACAGCAATATTTAGACATTGTCCACTGTTTATATAATTCATTTCTGTAAGCCAGCGGTCAAACCACGCCACTACTCTTCTACTAAGGATGGAAGTCTGTACCTCAAGCATAAGCAATGGGCTTATTGTTCAGCCTTAGAAAGGATAAGTCTGTGTTTCCAATCAGTGTATCAAAATAAAATGAAGACCAATGTATATAAAAGGGACCATGGCAGATTTCACTGATTAAAACTTTTGACTACTGATCAGTTTGATTTCACAGGGGACTCCTAACAAAATGCAATACTGTGAATTGTACAGGAAATATTTATCTCCAGTTTTGAACAAGCTCATGTTGGAGGTCTATTTACTGTGTATGCATCTAGATATTTCAAATACAACATTTATTTTTTAATTAAACAGATATATATAGCCTCTGTTCTGATTTAAAGAGAGAGACTAGTTGTCCAACCACCCTAGCACAGGATTGAGAACCAATAACTTCTGAGTTCTAATCCCATCTGAGGTGGACTCTTCTCTAGGATTTACATAATTCTTCTGCGCCTCAATCTCCCTATTTAAGAAACAGTAAAACATGTACATCCCAGGAGCATTGTGAGGATCAGTTTGTGTCTATACAAAACCGAATTCTGTTACTCTTAATATATATTGATGTGACATGTGTGTGAGAGAGACAGACAGAGATGGATGAATGAATGAATGAACAGTAATAAATAAGCATTATGTACCCTGAAAAAGAGATCAAGGGAATCCTGGATGGATCGCGAAGGAAGTAATTTCTTTCTTCGGGGAAGATCAATGGAAAGATCATTAAACTGTTCTCGTTTAGTGACTGTTTCACCACACCTACAATAAAAAAGCACATGTGATTTTGCCTATACGTATGCTGGAAAATCATCATAGTTTATATGGTTTATTTCACAGTAACTTTACGCATGTGGACATACCGAGCCCATTTTAACTCATCAAGATGATAAAGTCTCTCACTGACTGAACTTACGCTTTAATTTTGGGACTTGGGTTTGGTATTTTCAGGATTTAAAGAAAGAGTTCCTGTGAGTAATAGTTTGAGAGCAAACATGAACCTGAACTCTAAGAAGTACTTTGGAGTGATCAAGGGATCTGTCATATGGGAAAGGCAACAGGCCTGGTGGTATAGCTGAAAGCCCTCCAATCTGCATCAACCCTCTCAGGAGGAAAGGAGTCAGCCCAACCTCATGAGGGATCAAAAGGAAATCTGATTTTTTTAAAAAATGAAATACTAATATTTGCACACCTTTAAAAACCTTAATTTCATTTCAGGATATAAATACTGGACCAAAGTAGTATCATACAACTTTTAAGGGCACAATATGAGACACACACAACAATAGTTGTCTAGAATGATGACATGATTAACACCAGCACAGTACCAAACATATGCGGCACTGGCCATAGAGGTGAATGAGCAGGTAGATGTGCTTACTCAGCACATCCTTGTGTAGCCTCCACTGGCATAGCTCCTTATGGAGCTACAGGAAAGCTGCCATTCCCTGGAAGAAACCACTGGGAGAATGACAGAGGAAATGTGGCCTGCCCACTTCTGGGAACAAGCCCTTTCCTGATGTAAAGCACTAATCTTGTCTAGTGGGCATGGATGGGAAAGCAAAAAAGAAAGCACCTACACCGAAACTAAGTCCTCTTTTGTAAAAACATTAAAAAACTAGCAGGCTGCTCGGCGAATATGTTACAGTAAAGAGCAGTGTGGTGTGAGGGTTTACCCTGTGACTACACTTAATCTTCCTGTGCAGACAGTTTTAAGCATTTGGAAAGTTTTCATTTCTGCTTACATCATATGTAGGAAAAGAAGGAAACTGCTTAGTACTACATGTGGCAGTTGGTCTGTGGATGAATGAGATCACAGAACATGAAAATACTTTCCTTCCATCTGCAGAACTTTTACTTCTTAGATTTCAAAAGTATTGTCTCTCTCAAAAATACTTACATTTTACATATGATAGAATGTTGAACCTCGAACTCTAAGTTAGTGATAACTGGACAAGTGTAAACTTTCGTGGCTGAGATGTCATCAGAGGCCCGTCCTGGCGAGTTATCTTCACCAGACACTGGCTCACTCTTCCAAGTTTTGTTTAACTTTTCCATGTCCTCCTTCAGCTGATCCAAACACTGGCTCAAAAACTCGTGTGCATCCTAGAAACGGTGTAAATTCTTTAGATTAGAATGACTCTCTGCATGTCCTGCTTTCAATCTCTCTGCTATACGTGTGTGGGTGGATGGATAGATGGATGGGGATGGATAGATAGATAGATTAAAAAAAACACACAGACTAACTCTGAATGCAATTGTCTTATATAGGATCACATGAAAGTTCTGTTATAACCACAAAACTGACACTAGCCATCCATTCAACTAACAGCTGTAGTGGGGCGGCTGCCCCACTCCAGGAGAGCCGGGGTTAAAAGCAGCCCTTGGAGAGGGCTGTGGCTGGGACCCGATTAGAAAAGGGATTAAGAGCAGCTGAGGGAGGCTGGCTGAGTAGCTGGCCCCAGGTGTGGCCAGCTCAATCAGGGCACAACTGGCCCTGATAAGAGGGGCTGTGAGGCAGGAGACAGTGAGTCTCACTCCAGCCTTGGAGTGGAAAGGACCTGGCTGCCTGGGAGCACAGGGTACCAGGAGCAGAGCAGTGCTGGGGAAGGGCAAGAGGAGCTGGGGAGCTCCAGCCTGGCAGCTCTCCAGGTGGAGGCCTTGTTAAGACCTAAGGGGGTACTGGGGCTGCAGAGGGGCAGCCCGGGGATAGGTAGAAGCAGCTGGTACAACCCCCTTGCCAGCAATGAATGGCCATTACAGACTGCAATCTGCCCCAGGGGGCGGGGGCTAGATGATGACTGGCAGTAGCCACTGAGGCAAGGTGGACATGGGGTTTGGGGTCCGTCTGGGAGGGGAGACCCAGAGTGTGGGGGTACTGCTGTGGGCAGAACCCCAAGGTAACGGGCACCAGGGTCCGGGAGGGACACGGGGGCTTGAGGCAGGAGAGACACCAGCCAGCAGGGGGTGCTCAGAGTGCTGGAATCGAGCTAATTCCTGGACGACCAGCAGGAGGCGCTGCAGCGGTGAGTGCTCAACCTGCTTCACAGCTCCATCAGTATCAACTTGACTCCAATGGGCACAGACCAAGTCAAACAGACTACCGCAGAGCTAGTGCACAAAACACAGGAGCAGTTTGTACAAGAGCGCACTTACATTCTGCATGTAACCCGAGAATCTCTCTGCAGTAGCTGAAATGGCACTTTTCACTTTCTTGAGCAGCTCTTTCTTTACCTCAGGGCTGCAAACATCCTTTTTAGCAAGCAGATGGGCAAAGCGTCTGGAGAAATTAATGCAGTGAAAGGTTGGTTGGCTGGCTTTCCAAATCTTATGGTAGGTAGTGTAAAACCTGAAGATGTCTCTCTAAAAACATTTGCCAAGTCTGTTTTCCATTAGGGATGAGGCAGAGGGATTCAACTTGTACAACACTTCACAAACTGTCCCCATCCCCTTAGATTCCAAATGTTTTAAAACTTAACTCCTGATGCCATCATTTCAGTGGGACTCTGCACTTAAAAATTCCTCCAATGTAAAGAGCACGTAACAAAATGTGTTATGTACAATATCTTATGAAATAACAGCCCATTAAAATAAACAGATAAATAATTAACCCTAATTCTTATGGCCAATAAACACTTTTGTAAATTACACTCCACCCAGCTGCAAGTCTTATTTCTTTTTGCAATACAAGAAGTTGCAACATACAGATTCATTCATTTACATAACAAGAAGCTGAAGAAATCTGGCAAGACAAAAGTTTGTTTTAACTCAGATATACCACTGTTGTTGGTTTAACTTTATTAATAATCAGGTGATCCTCTCTATCTCCAGTTACTGTGATCTAGTTAATTTCATACACACATACATGCAAGTGACATATGAAAAAGGAAAGAAAACTAAAAATTAGCTAACAAAAGAATTGGATAACTTGCCTGAAACAAAGCAACAGAAGTAAAGACAGGCACTATGAAGCATTCACGTCAGTCCTGTTGTACCTCTACACACAATCACACATGGCCTCCATCAGAACATCCTATTATAATGGGGCACAAGAGCTATCTACCTAGTTTGCCTGTAAAGATACAGGGCACCATCTTTAGTGCAGCTTTACAGTGCATTTATACAACTACAACAGGAAAAATATGCACAATGGCCCATTTGACAGACCGCTGAAAGAACAGGACTTAGTTGAGAGCACAAGGATGGTCTTCAGAAATTCCTATTTTACTCTATCTGCAAACTTGACAGTAACATTAGATAAAGTGTCCACGACATGCTCGTTCTATGACTGATATCATAGGTCCAAACAGAGGTCTTATTGCAAATCCTGGCAGGAGGACATTTCAAATGGCATATAGAACTGCCAAGTCCAAACAGTGCAGGAGGGGCTCAAGAAAGATACAACAGAAATAGAAAGGGTCCGAAGACAGATAAAAGCAATTACAGACATAAAAAGACTTCCATCTGAGGAGAAATTAAAGGACTAGAACCATTTAACTGGGAAATGGGACAAATAAGAGGGCATGAGAGCAGCGTATAAAATACTGAATGGTACAAGGAGGGTAGATCAAATACCATTTGTTCTTTCTGGTAATACAAGAACCAGGGGATAGTCAGTGAAATCTGAAAGGCAACACAATTAAAACTGATAAGAGGAGAGACAGTTTTACACAGCACATAACTGATGTGCTGTGTAAAACACAGTGTGTAATTCACTGCCACAAGGTATACCTGAGACGAGCCAAAAGCTTAGTAGTATTAAAAGATCAGATGTCTTTATGGACAATAAACCTCTACAGTTACATAAAGTAGAATAAAAAAGTATACAACATATAAACCCTCATGTGCTAGGGCATAAGCTAACCATTATCTGACTGGGACTAGGAAGATGCTTCCACTATTGGGAAGTTCTTTCATATTTGTCTTATGGATTTGCTTGTACTTTCTTCTGAAACAGCTGGTTCTGCCAATGTCAGAGAAGATATTGGGTTAGATAGACCACTGATTTGACACACTATGGCAATTCCTATGCACCCTACTTTATGTTTCTAAAATCTGTCCCTCAATACACTTATAAATTCCCAAATTATAATGGATTTTCAGAGACAGCAAGAACTGTTTCCAATTTCCTAATTTTACATTGCAGCTAGGGTTCAAGGCACAACCAACTCCTACATGCCTATACTCAAGCATCATGTTCTACAAATTCACCCCAAGGTCCAGTTTGAGTAAAATAGGAATTTCTGGGTATGGAACGGCTTCCGTATGAGGAGAGATTAATAAGACTGGGACTTTTCAGCTTGGAAAAGAGATGATGGGGAGGATATGATTGAGGTCTATAAAATCATGACAGGTGTGGAGAAAGTAAATAAGGAAGTGTTATTTACTCCTCCTCCTAACACAAGAACTAGGTGTCACCAAATGAAATGAATAGGCAGCATGTTTAAAACAAACAAAAGCAAGTATTTTTTTCACACAGCGCACTGTCAACCTGTGGAACTCTTTGTCGGAGGATGTTGTGAAGGCCAAGACTATAACAGGGTTCAAAAAAGAACCAAATAAGTTCATGGAGGATAGGTCCATCAATGGCTATTAGCCAGAATGGGCAGGGATGGTGTTCCTAGCCTCTGTTTGCCAGAACATGGGAATAGGTGGCAGGGGATGGATCACTTGATGATTACCTGGTCTGTTCATTCCCTCTGGGGCACCTGGCATTGGCAACTGTCGGAAGACAGGATACTGGGCTAGATGGACCTTTGGTCTGACCCAGTATGGTCGTTCTTATGTTCTTAAATAAAGTTAATATCAAAAAAGAAAATATCCCACCCAAGCAAATGAAGTTTACCTGATAAGTGCATTGAGTGGAATTTTTTTCCAAGGGATACCCTGCTTAAGCAAATCATTAGCAAACGACTGAATTGAAAACAAGGACTGTAAAATGGCATTCATGTAGCAGGTATTTCCCAAGTTTGAAAATCTGAAAAGAACAAAAGATATTATTGAACATTGACCTATTAAGGCGTTTGCTGTTCTCCATCCCAACTGCTCCAACATAGCTCCTCCCTCCTAGACCATTAGTAGGGTTGCCAGGCGTCCGGTTTCTGATGGGAACACCTGGTCAAAAAGCGACCCTGGCAGCTCCGGTCAGCACTGTTGACAGGGCCGTTAAAAATCCAGTCGGCAGCACAGCAGGGCCTGGGGCTAAGGCAGGTTCCATGCCTGCCCTAGCTCCATGCGACTCCTGGAAGTGGCCGCCAGGTCCCCGAGACCCCTAGGCGCATGGGCAGCTAGGGAGGCTCCGTGGCGCTGCCCCCGACCTTAGTGCCAGCTTCGCAGCTCCCATTGGCTGGGAATTGCGACAAATGGGAGCTGTGGGGGCGGCGTCGGCGGGCATCAGGGCAGCACACGGAGCCTCCCTGGCTGCCCATGCGCCTAGGGGCTGCAGGGATCTGGCGGCCACTTCCTCAGAGCCGCAGTAACCGCCGCCGGGACCCCGTACTCCCTTCCGCACCAGAACCCCCTGCTCTCCAAACCCCTCATCCCTGGCCCCATCCCAGAGCCCACACTCCCAGCTGGAGCCCTAACCACCCTCCGCACCCCAACCGCACCCCAACCTCCTGCCACAGCTCTGAGCCCCCTCCCGCACTCCGAACCCCTCATTCCTGGCCCCACCCCAGAACCTGCACCCCCAGCCGGAAAGTTGGCAACCCATTAGTCATCTTGTATATCTGGAAAGCATCTATGGGTATTTCTACAATCTAAATATAAAAATACTGTGATTGCTCATTTGGTACAGAGAATAATTTTCAAACAAGCTTATTTCTTTCACAAGTTTGTTGGGTTCACTATATCAACTACCAAGTTCTCAGGTTAGAATTTTAGCGAACGATTTTCTTTTCCCAAATTGGGAAAAGGGCTCCTTACTCAGGCACAAGTCTCACTCATTTCAGAACCAGGTCTTGAATTCATTTCTATGTAATTAGTACACTTCAGTCTGCTCAAATTCAGATGACAGGGGGAAAAAGTCGGATATCAAAGTAGCTGAAACTTACCCTTGTAGCTGTTGCTGTGGGTGGCTGGAAAGGGGCACTCGAGGTTTGTTCCATCCTGTGTAGTCTTGATTAGATCTCATTTTTTTAACAGAGAGTGGGGCTGGCTGAGAGAGAAACCCCAGGCTTCTTTTGGCTGAGGGTGTCTGACTTGATATGCTAGACCTACAGTGCACACAAAAAAAGGGGGGGGGGCAATAAAATGTAAGTTTTTGACTGCACTGTTCTTTCAAGACAGTAGCAAAGACAACAATTATAGCCCATGACAAAAATGACAATCATATCAGCCTTATCCATTGCACATGCCAAGGTGCTGCCTATTTACTCATGGCAATTTAAATGGGATTGAGTTGGGGGAGACAAGGCTGTCCTATTCTACCTTTATTAGATTATGTCTTGAAGAATCTCAAAACAGGACTCACA